AGCTGGGGCCTCTGCTAACAGGCCTCCACTGCCCCCTCACTGTGGGTCAAGGGCCCCCACTGAGCCAGAGATGGGGAGCTGGAGCACCGTCTTAGCCCCTTGGGGCAGCTATAACAAAACATCACATCGCACAATAAACATTTCTCTCTCACAGTTCTGTAGACTGGGAATCCCAAGATCAGGGTGCTAGCGCATTCTATGCTGTTCCACACCCTGGGTGTCCAGCCTTCTGCCTCCCAGACTTGGTTTCTTTTCATAACTCAGTACCTGCCCCCAGCCAAGCTCCTAATGAGGCAGGAGGGACGGGGCAAGGCACAGCCCTTAAAAGAATGACACAGCAATAGAGGATAGAACATAAACTGGTTAACACCCCACTGGTCCAAGATGGCGGAAAATCATCTCCCAGTAGCCCTTGCGGCCCAAGATGGCGGAGGGTTTGACCTCAGCTAGACTTTGAGCTTTATTATACGCTCATTGTAATACATTAGCATAGTAAATAGTAAAACACACTCGTAGGCACCATGACAGTTGTGAGGCTGGCCATAAAAGGGTAAAAAATGGGTGGTGGCCCAATTCCTGGGAATCCTCTCCCCTTCCCCAAAATAGCTGGAATAATCCTCCCACTTGTTAGCATAGGAAGTTACCCAGCTCAGAAACTAACAACCCCGCACCTCACGGGCGCTCTCTCGTCCTCTGAGGCGACTTGCACCCTCTGAAATGTGTACCTCCCTGAATAAACTTGCTTTCACTCTACTGTAGCTCACTCTTGAATTCTTTCCTGCTCTAAGCCAAAGACCCTCACTTGGCAGGGCGCGTCCCTGGGACTCGCCTGAGACCTCAGACCTGGCCATCCTCTTGCCCCCACCCCCGCTTCTAGGGGCTTCTCTTCCGGTCTAGTCCTCCCTGACCTTTTCGGTATTGAGTTCCCTCATGCCCCTTCATCTTCCCATACCTTAAAGATAGCCGCGTAAAACCTTCATGCTCGAGCATGGCGGGGGCTCCAGGGCCCACCTAGAGCTGTGCATGGGCAGGAGGAAGTAGCACTCAGGAACACGCCATGGCTTGGAAATCATAGTCTTGCATCCAATAGGCATGTGCTCATCTGGGGGAAGGGAGGCCCTGTGGACAGGACCTGCAAAGCTGTAAACAGTCACTTCCACAAGTTGCCTAAAGAAATCTGCTTCTCCTGTGCCAGACACGGGGGTTTCAACAAGATTAAGGAGGACCATGTCCATGCAAGGACAGGTTATTTAAGGGCCCAGACCAGCTGGAATAGCTTAGCAAAAGAATGCCAAGCACAGGTGAGGGGCCTGAGGCGCTTGGCCCCGCCCCCTCAGACAATCTTTATCAGGCCCCTCCCCACCCCCTTTTAATTCCTGCAGGTGCCCTCCCCTCCTGCTTGGAGGCAGATCCTACCTTAATTTCTGCGCCTTCCCCATCCAGCCTACCCCAAACGGCTCACACTGTTACCAGAAAACTGAGTTTGCCTCTTGGCCGGCATGTCGAACCAAAAGAGCTAACCAAGTCAAAGATCGGGAGAAGGAAGGCTTTATTATTACTTGCAGCAAATAAGCAGAACACTGGAGATACTTCTGGAAATGTCTCCCCTGAACAGCAAAGTTGGGGAAATTTTAAGCTAAGGGAACATGTATATTCATGGAGGGACTTGAGCAGAGGAAAATTCAACATCGTCATTCCCTCCCGGCACCTGGATGTGGTGGGGCTTAGTCTCTATGGAGCTCAAAGATACATTTTTACCTAAATTGCTTGAGGAGGAGCTATAACACTGCACTATTGTTTCTTTAGGGGGAAAGGTAAATTACATTTACTTATTTTTATTGGAGCTACTGGGGATTTGAACCCAGGACCTCATGCATGCTAAGCATGTATTCTACCACTAAGCTATATCTGCCCTCTGCACTGTTGTTTCTTGATTGCTCCTCCTTGGTTTCTACATTCCCTCACTTTTCTGATTAGCAACTATTTGAATCTGCACTTTGATCCTCAGAGAAGTTCAAGGAGGTTGAAGCCTTTTTTCCTACAAACAAGAAACAAGGGACACAGAAAGGCTCTCATATGCAGGAGGACCCCACAGGGTGCTGCTCAGTTTCAACACCTCGTCCAACACCTCTCCCTGTCCAGGGTCGGTTACACCTCAGGGCCCTCTCTGTCCTCACCCTCTCCCTCTGCATTTCTGCCTCACACTGCCTGCTGGAGTCCTGGACCATCTGTCTGTCAGCTTCCATCCCTCCCACCCACACCTCTACTCTGGCCCTCCCCACTGCTCATATACTCACCACCCACCAGTCCCCAAGCACAGTGGACCCTGACCTGCCCTCCCTACCAGCCCTCTTGGTACATCTATCCATTCTATACCCACCCACTACCATCTTTGCCCTGAGGACTTAAAGACAGGAAGAAAGCAGGGCACAGCCATGCAAGGAATGACACAGCAATTAGCACCAAGATGGCAGAGAATTCAACTCCCAGTAGACCCTGAGGCCCAAGATGGCGGGAGATTTGATTTCCAGTAGACCTTGAACTTCATTATACATTCATTGTAATATATTAGCATGATGAATGACACACGCACAGGCACCATGACAGTTCTGAGGCTGGCCATAAAAGGTCAAAAAGTGAGCCGTGGCCCAATTCTTGGGCATCCCCACCCTTTCCCCACAGTAGTTGGAATAACCCTCCCATTTGTTAGTATATAAAGCAACAGAGCCCATAAAAACTAGCAACAGCGGGACTCACAGCTCTCACTCCCTCACCTACGGAGAAGGTACACACTCTGTCTATGGAATGTATATCTACTTTAACTTTAAACTAAACACCCAACCCCACACCTTATGGCCTTTCTCTTGCCTCCTGAGAAGGCCTGCACTCTTGTCTATGGAGTGTACCTCTCTCTGAATAAATCTTTTTTCACTCAACTATGGCTCACTCTTGAATTCTTTCCTGCATGAAGCCAAGGACCCTCACTTGGCGAGGTGCATCCCAGGGACTCAACTGAGATCTGGGACGTGGCCATCCTCTCTTGCCCCATTTTCCTGTATCACTATAAACAAAGAATGCTGCCCGCCACCTCAGTTCTACAAGAATCAGACCAGCAGCCACAGCAGCCACCCACCGATGATGGGGTGCTGTGAGGGGAGTTCAAGATGGAGAAAAAGAGGAAGCATTCTGTGCTTTGGATGGGGTCCCAGATAGTTAAGATGCGTATCTAAGGAATAATTTCAATGAACTCAGGTCCTTGCATCTTCCCATACATAGAAAAACAAGTGCTAAAACCCTTAACTTGAGATATCTCTTCTTTGTGATTAGCAGTAATCTTTACATGTTTGGCTACATGTTTTGGGGATTTTTTTTTTACCAGCAAAAAAACTGTATACCCCAGTAGACCTTGAACTTCATTATACATTCATTGTAATATATTAGCATTACCTCTTCAGAGCAATTCCTCAATAAGCCGTCAGGCAAGAACCCTCAGTAAGATCCTGAATAAAGCTTAACACAACTTTTCCGGTGTTTTCTCGGTTGACAAGGCCTAGGGGGTGGAAGGGGCTCCCACAGAGGCTGGCCCCAGGTGCTGCTGCCCAAACCTACCCACAGCTCTGTGAACAGCTCTTTTATCAGCTGCTCTTCAAATACCTAGGATGATAAGAATGACTATTCTCTGCTGGGATCTTTACATATAGCATGTGACGGCCAGACTGGATATGGGAACTCTGCACAGGGTCAAAGCAATACCCAATGATACCCAGAAAGCCCAGGGCTGGAAAGGGTGTGGGCGGCAGGCTGTGGGCAGGGCCCATCAGCCCAGCACTGACCCACGCCGCAGGCACTTTCCTCACAGCCCTTCCCAGAGAGCCCTGTGGCTCTGAGCCAGGGTTTGGCAGGCACCATTTCTGGTCTACCACAAAGTCATTTTTCACTTTTAATAGTTTTTGTTCAAACAAGAATGTGCCCAGCCCCAGAGGATGAATAATGGTCTAAACCAAACATGGCAACACTCCCCTTTACAGGTGATAATTATATTTTATTAATATATAATATATAATCATACTATAATTCAAATGTTGCTGAAACCTATGCCTTTGTAAAAATATTTCATTCTATCTAAATATCCTCTGATCCTACCTGGTGGCCACCATGTCCTAGCAACTCAAAATGCTACAAAATTCTTCAATGTGACCATATATAATCACCCTTTCTTGGTTGTAGTAGAACGTTGGACCTGAAGACAAATTCTGAGAGTGTTATATTTTATTACTCCTGCTATTGCTTTGCTGTTAAAATCTTCAAAACCTTCAAAAAGGGCTGGGAAGCCTTCAAGGTCAGGCATCCACCCCAGGAACTCTGTGCCTGGAGACAGGGTAGGGACCAGTGAGCTGTCCCACAACCTCACCTACCAGGAAGACGGCTGGAGCTGCTGTCACTCTGAGCCTGGGGATGACACCAGGAATTCCTGTCATCCACCATGACACAGCCACCCTCTGCCGTGACACACGGGGAGAGGCACACGTGGGCACCTGGCCATCCTCCACTTCATCATGTCCATGGAAGAACAGCCCTGCAACCACCTTTCCAACAGTCCAGCCCCGGAGCAGAAGGTGTGGAAAGTCCAACAAAATTCTGAGGCACTGGAAAAGGAATACCCTGCCCCTTGTGACCATCTTCCCCAACCCAGAAGTGACAAAGAACACCAGAGAACCAGCCAGCACGCCCCCAACCACAGCCTTGCACGACCCCTCCATCCTTGACTCAGCCCCAGGTTCTCCTCCTCGAGGATGCCAATATTTGGGACCTACATTTTCAAGGACCCTGGATCCTTCCTTACATCTGCCTCTTGCATGGGGGCAAGGGCCCAGCACCCCAGGCCGGCCCAGAGAAAACTGGGGCCCTGTCCATGTGTGCCAGGCCCAGGGCTCACTCCAGGGCAAGACAGTTTCTGCTCCACATCTCTAGGAGCCACAAGACACAACCTTAGATTATTCTTTATTAAAAAAGTTATTTATTGCAAAGAAGGCTGGACAGTGTGTTGTGTGGCTGAGCTCCAACAACACCCATTCCAGGGGGAGCAGGGAAAACATCTGCAACAGGAGCACATCGACCATCACAGCCAAGACCTGGCAGCCAACCAAGCGGGCTGCTGCCCCTGCAGAGAGGGTTCCGGGGTGAGCCCCTGCTGGGACCCCAGACTTCCTTCCGCTCCAACCCAGTCCTTGTCACACATCCTGGCCCAGCAACTCCTGACTGCCCTCTGGACACAGAGAGAGAAGGACTCACTGGTCTTGCCTCAGCCAGCCTGAGGTCCTAGAGAGGTGGTGACATATAGATGTATGTGTCTCTGGCTAAAGGGACTGTTGGCCAACAAGTGAGCGTGTCCAAGTGACCAAAAGTCACAACTCCAGGGGACACGGAAGCAACGGCTGCAGTCCCCATGTCCCAAAGGCAGTGCCTGGTCCTCTGGCCCTGGGGCTGAGGGGCTTGGGGCTCTGCCAGGAGGTAAGTCCAGAAGGAGGATCCCGCCACAGCCCCATCTGGGACACCTCTCCACACGTGTTTGTCCACCGCTGCTACAGACATGAGGCCAAGAGACCAACAGCCCAGGCCAGGGACACAGGATCCTGGGGCCTGGCTTCACCAAGGACCACCTGTGGTCAGCAGGGCATCCAACTACGCATCCAAACACTTTCTCACCCAGCTGTACAACTTGCTGGCCAGTCCATTTTCGCAGCTACAAAAGGGAGCCAGTACCTGCTGCCCAGCCCATCTCTCTGAGCCCGAAAGAACTCATGGGCATGAGAGCTGGCAGGCTGCCCGAGGTCATTTTCATCAGGCTCCTGTGCACATGAATCAAAAGCTGGGACGCGGCTGGAAAACCCTCCTCTGGCTGGGGGCTGCTTGGGTTCCGGCCTTTACCCTGCTCTGTCCCACAGGACAGGCTTTACAGGACCACACAGGCTCTTCTGAATCCTTCACAGCAAACTCGGGTCCCTGCCGCCGGTGCACGCTCCGGTGTGGACACAGGCAGCAGCGGGCGAGGTAGCCTGGTGACACAGTGGGGAGAGGAAGACAGGAGGGCAACCTCTCCCCTGAGCACTTGAGATGGGAACTCACACAACGGCCTCCCCCTGTGCTGTCCCGGGAGTGCAGTCAAGGAGGGCTGCCACCTGCTCCCACAGGTATTCCAGTGTAGGCATATGGGAAGGGGTGACCGCAAACGCTCCGCTCCCTGCGTGTTTCTGTGCGTCCGCACGTGCTGAGTGAGCACAACGCCGTCCTGAGCGCGACCCCAGGGGTCTGGCCAGTGGAGACGGCTGCCCTGCAGGAACCTCTTCGGCTCCTGGCGGGGCGGGATGGGGAGGGCTGACTCCTGCTCCCCGAGGCAGCAGCAGCTCAGGATCCCATGAAGACCTTGCCTCTGGCTCAGAAAGGAACCACCGCAGAGCCTCTGCAGAGGTACCTGGGGCCGCCCAGGCAGCTCAGCCTCGGTGGGTGGAAACATCACAGCAAGTGCTTTCCGTTTCACATTGTTGGGTTTCACACTCACAAAGCCCACCCGGCCGGTGAGAGAGGACCAGGTGCTGGGCAGCCTCTCGCCGGCCTGGGCAGACACAGTCAGGCCGAATGATATTTAGCAGCAGGTTGGGCACCACGTACAGCCCTGTCACTGTCAATAAGGAAACAGGTGGGCTGGGGCGGGGGTTCTGGGTGCCACCAGCCACGTATGGCTTTGAGGGTGTTTCTGTGAGGTGACTGTCACAAAGACCAGAGGGCCTGAAGTGATCTTGTCTGCACAAGTCACCTATCTGGGAGTCAGAGTGGACTTGACACAGTCACTGGTGAGCAGGAACTGTGACAAGGGCTTCCTCCGGAGGCCTCGAGATGTCTACATTCTGCAGAAAAATAAACACAGAACACTCACCCTGCGCCAAGGACAGACATAGCTGCCTGCTTTTCTCATCACTGTGGACTCACTCTCACCAAGAGGAGCCCCAGCCGCAGGACCTAGACCCCAACCTTCCCTAATAGTCAAGGATCAACAGCCTCTTGACATGTGGTGTGTGGACAAACACCAGAACAAAGGCAGGGGGTGGAGGAAGCCCCGGCTCCCACTTGCTCCTTGCAGGCAAGTCAGGTGTTGCCCAGAGCCAGGCCATCCCTGTCTCCTGCCTCAGGTCCGGGTCAGATGGGGAGGAACACCTGGGCTGGGGGATATCCTCACCATGGGGGCAGGGAAGGGGGCCAGCTCCGGGGAGCCCCCTCCTGGCTCTAAGCGTCAGTGGACAGGTGTCAGACACGGCCCCAGCAACCTATGGACATCTCCTGGTCTGCAGCTTGGTCTGTCCTCTCAGAACTGGGGTGCAGGACCCCCTGCAACTCCTGAACCACTCCACCCCCCACCTCAGCGCAGAGGCCCCCACCAAGCAGCAGAGCCCAGTCCTGCCCACAACCTGCTGAGCTCAGGGCAGCTCAGGCATAAGGAAGAAGGGCCGAGACTTCCCTCAGCTCTATGTGACCCCTGATCCTGGTGGCCCAGCGGAGCAGGTCACCAATGACCTGGGTCACAGCCCTGAGCAATATGAATGCCTAGGTCTGCAGGGAGGAAGACATGGCCCCCATGGCCACACCCCCGGGGCTCACAGGACAGGCCACTGGAATTGTAGGGACAGGTGCACTTCTCACTGGGGGCAGGCTTCCTGAAGGCCCCTTTCCCACCACAGCTGGCCTCCAAGGATGGCCCAGGACCTGGAGAACCCACCTTAAAGAGAACCGTCTGGGAGCCTGTGGCCAGCAGAAGTTTGCTTCTCAGAAGCACACACCCAGAGGCGGGCATAGTGTCTGCCAGCCACCCCACAGCCAGGCCGGCTCCTGCCCTGGGGACCAAGGGGCCAGCCCCTGATGCTTGCCAGGTCCCGGGGCCTCTCTCACCATTGGTCCATCAGTGCTGGGGGCCCAACACCTTCTGGGCTTTCCTCAGCATAAAGAGACCTGTTAGGACATCATCCCCTGTGACCTGTGTGTGCCAGACCGGGCCTGGACCAGGCTCTCAGGGCAAACGGGGAAGAGGCCTGCACAATGACCTGGGGAGGGGCAGCAGCCCTGGGAAGGAGTAGGACAGATCCACACACCTCTGCCCACGCGGCCCAAGGCCTGCACCCTCAGCAGGGACCCAAGACCCAGGACGTCCCATCATGGGTGGCAGCAGGCATGACTGAGGCCCCGGGAGCCTTCTCAGTTCATTACCCTGGGAATGGGGCCCAGAAGAGGCAGTCCTGTCCTTGGCCTCAGGGGGAGGGGTGACCAACGTGGTGGAGGGACCCCACAGGGGCACGAAGTGGTTCTGGGCAACACTTTAAGGAGCTTCTATCTTAAACAAGACACTGTGGGAACACAAGATGGAGAACTGTCCTTCTGCAGGAAGGTCTCTGCTCAGCGCAGAGATCCCCTGAGCACCTGCGTGGCCCTTTTCCCAACAAAGCATGACACTGTAAGTTTTAAAGGTGCTCGCATCGTGTAAGGTGCTCATGAGGCCTGGGCTGGTGCAGACATGGACTCGCCTGCCCTCCCCCCATAGGCCTCCAGCCTCTGTCCCAGCCACAGCCTCACCCCGACAGGGGAGCAGCCCTGATAGAGAACTCAAGCTCACTCAGCAGGCACCCCAGCTGGGCCGGGCCCTGGCAGATGCCCGACATGGTGGTAATCCCGCTGCTACCTGAGGTCTGTCCCGGTGCGTGTTCACAGCCGCCACGTTCAGGAATATGGACTCCACTTTACAACCTGCCAGAGAGAAGAGGCAAATCCAGTACCCCTCCTGAAAGGCACTGAGCCTCAGAGGGGAGATGCTTCTCTCAGGAGGAGGCTCGGGGTGCTGTGGGACAGAGCAGGCACCTCAGCCTCACTCCAGTCGTCCCACCTTAGGCAGCTCTGGGGGCCCCAGAGAAAGGACGAGGAAACTTGTCAGGCCTGAGTCTCTGTGTCACTGCCCAGCATGGGCTCAGTGAGGAGCCCAGGCACCAGGCAGGGCCACGCCGAAGACAAGTGGCCTACCTGGAGGCTGAGGAGCCACAAGCCTGGCTCAGCACGGGATGATTCATGCAGTCCGCGGGGCCCCCAAACCACCCTCACTCAACCCTGCCGCACACATGAGGCCAAGTCACCATCATGCCAGGGACTCAGTGCACAGGGGGACCAGGGGATTGACACACACTGGAATGACATCAGCTGCCACTAAGCAATGACAATGACTGAAGAGGTCATTGTCCCGAGAGCACATTCCTGAGAGGGTGCCTCGTCCAGTGACAGGGGAGCTAGGAAGCTGCCTGAGATCTCTGCTGGCAGAGTCCAAGGCAGCCACACATATTTAAGGCCCAGGTCCTGGGAGCTGTGGGACTTTGTGGGGGTTTTGGGAAAACCCATAGAAAAGCCCCTCATGCAGTGAGTGATGATTAAGGAAGGGGGAGGCTTCCTGTGGCCATGGGGATTAAAGCAAAAAAAAATAAAAAGGAGATGGGGAAAGCTCGTAGGGTGGTGGGGGGGAATGAGT